TAGAGCAGGGAACAGAAGAGGCAAACTGATGAAATACACTGCTGAGGGGAGCTCTGAGGCTGGCAGGGATTGAACTGGCTCTGCAGAAGCTGCGGACAGCTTTGTAGCACTGTGCTCAACTGTCTGTGCACCAGATGGTTAAATGTTAAGAAATATTTCAGGATCTAATAGCAAAGTAAAATGTTAAGAAATATTTAAATGTCAAGAAATATTTCATGATCTAATAGCAAAGTAAAAGTCTTTAAAAGTAACTATTAAGTGTATTGTTATTATTGCTACTATGTTTATCGAAATTGACCGAATACTTATGTTCCAGGCACTGTGTTAAGCAGTGCACTTGTGCTATCTTATTGGATCTTCACATTCAAGAAGCAAATCTTGTTAGTATTCCTATTTTATAGTTGAGGAAACTGAGGTCTAAAGGACTGAATTAAATTGCCATAGGTCCACTCAATTAGTAAGTGCAAGAAGTGGGATATGAACCCAGGCAGTTCTGACTCCAGTCGTTGTTTTCCACCACCATTCATTACTGCCCTCAGTGATGGACATTGCTCAGTGATCCACTGATGAACTTAAGGGACACACTTGTTGGAGGAACAATAAGTAATAGATTATTGCTCTTTTCAGCATACTTGAGATTCATGAACTCATTTCTATGACCAGTCTATGTTCTTATGGTGTGATTCAGCAATATGGCTGTCATTTTCTATTATTTAACAGTCCAAGATAAGATGTATTTTGGAACATATCTGAAAAATTATATTCTACAACACCACATTGTCTTAGCTTAACAGTTTACCAGGGGTGAAAAAGTTAAGGTCATAATTATCTTTAGTAGTAGGCATTATTATATACTTCATATTACTTGCACCTCATTAATCTATTCTACAAGTCTTTATTCAGTGCCTTTTGTATGGTAGGTAATAGTCTAGCTTCCAGGCATACAAATAGATAAGGCCCTATTGGGTAGAGATGGGGGATATGACAGGCTGTGAACATGTAATTGCATAAAAATTTCTGTGTCAAGTAATGATGGGGACTGGGAAGAAGAGGCAGTTAAGAGACGAGAGAAAGGCACTATGGTCTGGGAAAGCACTGATATTTTAGACTGTGTCGGGGAAGGTTTCTTGGATGTGATTATGTTTGAGAGAGACCAGAAATGAGAACATGAACAATGAGGAAAGAGTATCTCAGATGAGAGACCAACCAGTTCGAATGTTCTGAAGAACAAGCGTCCCTAGAATGTTAGTGCAAGGAAGGAAGGGTGAGCAAAGCAGAGTGAAAGGAGGTTTGTACTCTATTAATTCTGTTTTTCTTGAACTGTCCCTGGTAACAAAAGAACTTATCATATGACAATGACCCAGGTTGGGACCAGAGATAGTCCTATGCAAGATCTGAGTTGGGGGGACATAATACAGAAAACTGATTTGCTTTTGAAGACCATATTATTCTTCTATTTTTCTGGGTGACAGTGAATCAGAAGTGTTACGAAGAAAAAAGAATTATCTAGGGTTAAGATATTAGTCTCTATTGAAGGTGCTATGTGTGTTTACTGTGTATGTGCTCACTTGGCAGGAAGTAAAGATTCATTTCTTCTAGATCAAATAATGAGTCCCTTGATGGTGCATACATCTGCTCTTTCAAAAAACCAATGATAATTCCCAAAGCACTTCAATGAATAAAGGAAAATGAAGTCCACAGTTGAGATTTGTTAAAAGATTAAAAGAGAGGTATTAATGTGTTAGGGTTCATCTGTGAGTTCATGTACAGATTTTTTGATTGTAAAATTGTTAAAAAAATTTTACCATTCAATTTTTATATTCCAAGAGATTTGGCAGAACTACCACAGATAATTTAAGAAAAATAGAACCCTTCTAGCATTTGATAAAAACCTTGACAAATTATCCAAATTAAGAAACTATATTAATTTCAGCATTATGTGAATACATTTGCCAAATTTCCATATTGGATTTCTATAGTTAATTATGAATAACTCAACCCATAAGCAGTGGAAAATAAGAGTACTTCATGCTACGCCATTATTACATATAATGTTCTGATTTGTACTGTATATTTAACCAAATACTGTAGTAACCACAAATTATAGCTTTTCTGCTCATGTAGAATGAACTCCTACCCAGATAACTTGCAAATCTGAACAACTTAAATGACAGCATTTCAGAATAATACCCATTTATGCAGGGTATTAAATATTGCACAGAATATTAGAAATCTCTCCAAAAAGTGCATGTTACATTTGCTATAGAGTAAAAATAACCACAGTCAAGTGTGAAAAATGGAGTGCTGCAGGATTCTACCCTCCAACTACCACTGCCAAGCTCAGAATTTTATTCTTAAGAAGAGGCTATTAAACAAGAGGTGATAATTGATGAAGAAGATGAAGATCATCTTGCTTGATGAAAAAGATCAAGCAAGAAGGTGGAAGAGTAGGAAGACAATTTAAACAGAGAAAGAGCCTAAAGTGAGAACAAAGAAATCACCTGGCTAAAGAATTGGTGTTAGCACTGTAAGTAAGAAAGGAAGAGTTGCATGGAACTGGTGCCTGCCACTGGGCTCGAAAGACAGGCTTTCACTCCTTGAACCACTGAAGCACTGCACTGCCACCATTTCCCTGCATTGCCTCATATGCCACAGCTGCTCAAGATTAATGTCACATTCTCAGTAAGATGCAGGTATTGAATAGATACCAAGTCAAAGTCAAGTTATCCTCCATCTTGGGTTGTGAGTATAAGTGGATGCTAGTTTCTATGATTACATGTTTGGGTTTTTTTTAATGTTTAAAAAAATTCACAAAGAAGTTACTCTTCTACTTAAAAAAAGATATTTACATTGAGCTGTATGCACAAAAAGTAATTAAGAGCAAGTTAATTGTGAACAAATGATTCAACTAGCTGTCTATCTGACTTTTGAAGACATTAATAATGGAAACTAAAAGACTGAATTCATCTAACACTGGTTAAGCTTTTCCCAAGAAATCATGCCTTAGCTTATCTCTGACGTACGGAAATAAAACATTGGGCCTTGCCCACATGTCTACATAGTGAAGGAAAAATAATTTCCCTTTTTACCTCAGGGTTTTTGAGGCATCCTGGGATGATGGCATCCCCTTAAAGTCTTCCACACTTTTTACTCCCTTGCTTAGATAACAAATCTACAAAACTGTAGTTGAGCAAGAGCTTTGAATTCAGTGAAAAAAATATCCTCAGCTTTCTAAAAAAAGTTGCTTGCAATGAAACAGAATCAACCTCTTAAAAAAAAAAAAAAAAACAACTCCACCCAAACTAGCAGATATGTATTATTAGTTTATTCTGCCACTAATTGAACTGCTGATAGAAGTGGTTGCCTAAAACTTATGAATTCTGTTGCCATCGCACAAAACAACCTCCTAATATCCCTTGCCTTTGATGGCTTCTATTACATTCTACAGCTCTAAGAGAAATAAGCTTGTCAGTACAAAATGCCTTAAAGGCTCTCCCCTTCAGAACCGCTGAGAAGACATAGAATTTGTTGACTGAGAGAAGGCGATCAGTGTGTCCCCCAGAGACAGCATCAAAGGCAGATGCTGTAAGCAACCACAGATTTAATGCGCTTCTTCTTTCCATCTTTCCTCCCTGGCAAGCTGGCCTTCCCCTGGGACTGACTCTCATCAAACTGACAAAATGATCATGTGTGGACTCACGGTTAGACCCAAGGATTTTCTCAAAGACCAAGATGGCTTTGAAAGATAATACACAGCTCATTTTTACACTTGAGGCCCATAGTCTATGTGTCTTAGAGGCTGGCTGGCTGAAAAATCTCAGATGGAGCCAGCTAATTCACTCAGTTCTTTTCTTAAACCCATGAGGCTAAAGGCTATTGAATTTCATGAGAAATAAACAAAATTTCAAATTAACTATAGTAACCTCCCATTTATGAAGACTGGTCACAGAAGGGATTGTTTGGGTTGGCAGAATGGAGTGGTTAACTCAGAGTTACTGTGTACTAAGCTGGCTGACACCAGGCAAGTTATTCAATCTCTCATGCCTCTGTTTCCACCTCCATAGGCAACAGTAAATGTACCTAAATAAGAAACAATAATTTTATCAGCATCAGGGACTGGTGAAAAACTACAGTGATTAACACACAAAAGCCACTAAGAACAAAGTCTGATATTCATCAGAGATACAATAAACCTTAGCTATAGCAGTAAAGGCAATGCAACTTGTATTATTATTATCACATATTAGCTGACCAATATTTATAGAAATGGAATTATTAATATGAATACTGATACTTCTAAGGCACAGGTAAATTCCTCTTCCATACTGGTCCTTAAAAGGACTTTAGGTTGTCACAAGTTATCTGAATTATTTATTCTGCTTCAAAAACATTTATACAAGGTCTACTGTTTATTGTTATTACAGGGATTGAAAAATAATTAAGACCATAAGGAGATCAAAGTTACAGCATGGGGACAGACCAACATACAATGCTAAATGATAAAGCATCTATTTAGCAAAAGCAAAATGCTAAGACACATAGCAAAATGTCAAATCAATGTATTATACACCTTAAACTTACACAAAATAAATGTACAACTATATCTCAATTAAAAAAATAAAATAAATATCAGGACACTATTATGTGAAATGACATAAAAAAATAGAGTTTTGGGGAAATAGAAACATTGTGGTAGGAACAGTAATGTCTTGTCCAAAGATATCCATATTCTAACCCTAAGAACCTATGAATCTGTTAAATACATCTCAAAAAGGAATTAAGTTTGTTGAATAGCTAAACCTTAGAGATTATAGTGAATTTTCTGGGTGTGTCCAATATAAACAGAAGAGTTCTTTAAGAGAGAAGCAGAAAATAGGGTGATGTGATGTGGGAAGAACTCAAGTAGCCATTTCTGGCTTTGAAGTCAGAGGCAGGGGACCATGAGCCAAGGAATGTCGGTGGCCTGCAGATTCTGAAAATGTCAAGGAAACAGATCTCATTTGAAGTCTACAAAAAGGGATAAATCCTGCAGAAGCTTTGGTTTTAGTCTTGTTGAAACCCTTATTAGATTTTGGAACTTCAGAACTGTAAGATAATAAATTTGCGTTGTTTTAAAACACTAAATTTGTGGCAACATATTAAAGCAGACATAGAAAATTAATATAGATATAGAATTCAACTTGTAAGTGGAAACGAAGAGAGGGAAGATTCTGGAAGAAGTGGTGTTTCTGTAAAGATCCGTGACTGAGTTGAATGTTAGACAATGGACTTAGGCTATGCATAGCAAGAGCACGGGGTTCCAGTTAGGATAGGGGTTCCGATTAGGATAGACTAAGATGTGATAGTTTCATTGATCCAGTGAACAAAGCTTGAGGAGTAGAATGTTTGAAAATGAGACTGGATAGAAATGTAGAATCCATTCATAGGAATCATAAAAGGGAGTCCAGTCTTTAGCCTATTAAAAAAAAAAAGCAGTTTTATTCTAGGGACTAAGAGGTTCATCTTTGTGTTTTGGAAATATTACTAGGATAGCAAAATGGAGGATGGGCTTAAGGAGGATAGACTAAGAGACAGAAGACCACGTAAAAGGCCCAAGTGAGAGGTGGTATAGTCTGGGTTAATGGCAGTGGGAGTTAGAAGAGAAAAAAGTACCAATTTGAGAAATAATGGACAGCAAAATGGGTAGTCATTAGTGATGATGTGGGAGGCATGAGAATACAGATGGAATCGAGAATAACTTCTGTATTTCTAGCTTAGGTGACAGGGGAGATGAAAGTGCCTTCAAGTGAGTAGAATATAGGAGATGCTCATTGAGGTGGGAGGTGATGCATTTCCATTGTATGATCTGGGATGAATAGATGGAGACACATGGTTGACAATCAAACAGGTGCATTTGGAACATAGGGAGTCTAGACTGATAAGGTGGATTTAGCATCTGGAATGAGGAGTATCTGTCAGCATATGGGGGGTAATCTGACTAGAAAGACTGGATGACATCATTTTGGAGTAAAGAAGAGCAGTGGGCTGAAGTTAGGACCCTAGGAAACAAGAGCAAGTAAAAGGTGCTGCAAAAAAAGATAAGTTTATGAAAAAGATGGAGGAGAAATAAGCATGAAACAACCTGGTGAACTTGCAAGGGTGGTGTCCTAGCAGCCAAAAAAATAGTTTCAAGAAGATTGTGAGACATAGGGTGAGAGAGAGCAGAATTAAGATAATAACTGGATAAAAATGAAGGTGGTGGTAGTAGTGATCTTCATCATATAAGAATGACAATAGCAACCAGGCCTACTTGAATATACACTATGAGCCAAGTACTATGGTTAATTTAACCAACACATATAGAGCAAGTACTTCCTACCAGAAATTACTCTAAGTACTTTCTAAGTTTTAACTCGTTTAACTCCTTTAACAATACAATGAGGTAGTTACTATTTTACAGATAAAGAAATAGAAATATACAGGTTTAGGGCAACTTTGCTTGTATAATATTACTCAGTAAATGAAAGAGCTTAGACTCTGCAGAGGCCATGTTCTTAACTACTAAGCTCTGCTGTCTCATTTATTTTTGCATTGTGTAAGCAAAGATGAGATGCCACCATCATCCTAACTAAACAGACCAAGAAACCAAGGTCTAGCAAGGCTGACCTGAACTTTCAACCAAGGTGAAACTGAACAAGTAAGAATCAGGCTGAATACGTCTGTATATTAAAACTAACCAATACTAGTGAAACTGGAAGGAGGAGGCTCCAGAAGACATCTTTTGCAAGAAAGGGCTCCCCATTCCTCTGGAAAGTGGGTAATGAGAAGGGCTGATTCAATCCAATCAAGGACTGAGCTGGACTGGGAGTGAGTATTTGGGTAATTTCTGATTTGTTCCTATCTCATCAGAGTGACTACTCAAGTTTTTTGAAAACAAAAAACAAACCTGCTGTGGGATTGGGAGAGATACCGTTCTGCCCTTCAGAGGTTTGTTGACTTCTTTTCATACTAAAAGGGAGTGTGAACAGATTCCAACCAAGTGAATGTTTCTGTCATTTGGTTCTACATAAATGGTAAGGCAACATCTGCAACAGCTCTCCTTTAGATTAGGAATTCTTTATTGGCTTAAAACAACATGGAGACTCCAAAAGTACATCTCTATGTATTTCTCATTCTACACAGTACTAAAGTTTTCTTCTGTGAACAAAGCCTTGCAAAGCCCTGGTGTTCTTGCAGCTGCTGTCTTCCAACCAGGCTTAAAGGAATGCAACTGGGGTCCCCTCTTCCAGAGAACTCTGACCACCGGGTATGAGAGGCTGATCTCAGAACAAGTCAGTACAAACAACAAACAAAGCTGAAACTCAGCTGGGCCTTGTGCCCAAGAAAACCAGCCACACACGAACTCACACCATGGGGGAAAGAGAAAGGGGAAAAAAGTTCCAAAAACAAACTGAGGAGAGAAAAAGGCAGGCTGAAAAGTTGGCTCCACACTGACTGACCCCCCACATGAATGCCTGAAGGACAAAATCTGAGAAAAAAAAGCATCCCTAGACTTGCCCAGGAAAGGGGCTCCAATCTCTTGACTTATCTGGAAGCAATGACTAAGAACTCAACTGTGCTGAGAAAGGAGATAGCTTTAGTTCATATGTAAAATAAAGGTTTTTTTTTTTTTAGGAAGAAAAACAATCAGAAATGTTTTTAACATTGTCTGTGTTTTTTTATATATACAAACATGCCCACATATGTACAAAAACTTATATTTAGGCTTAAATATATATCTATATTGTGTATTTTATTAAAATATTTTAACATCAATGTGTATGTTGAGTCATCTTAACCGCATTTACTTGAAAATGTATGGGTTAGTTAAGATATGACAGCAGCTCTAAAAGATATATCTGTTAGACCTGAAACTTCAGATGGCTTAATGCAATGGGAATTTACTTTTTGCTCATGTAAAGTCTAGTCAGTAGAAGAGAGAATGTGGGATCTTTGCTAATGATAGCTCTGTCATTGGCAATGTGTGGCTTCCTAAGTTGCTCTCCTACCTTAGTAGAAAGGGAAGAGTTAGAAACTATACAGGGATTTTTATTCATCATGCCAACAAGCAATATTTGATACTTTTACCCATAAATCATTGGCCAGCTAGAACTCAGTCACATGTGCACACCTAAATACAAGGAGTGCTAGCTGGGTAACTCTTTCCCAGCAAACACTAATCATTGGTGGAAGCAAGACATCTCTTCCCAATGGGTTTGCTTTCCTTTATCACATTTCTTCATTGTTTTAGGTTGAAAAACAGAGAAAGAGGAAATAAGATCACCAAATTAGCATGTTTTGCTCTATTTAATAAGTATTTCTTGAGAGAAGGACTATCGCTATTTGGGGGTGACATGACATGGTTCTTTCTTTGCTGGACTGTTAGTGTAGTATGTTTACATCTCTGATCCTTGCCCACTAATGCCAGAATATTCCTGGATACCATGACAACTAAAAATGCTATACATTTTCAAATGCTTCCTCTAGATTGGTCCTGACCTTGTTGTAAATTAAAAATAGTCAGAATTTCAAGGTAGTAGCTAATTCTTAGCTCTTGAAGGATCAAGTTATAAAAATCAACTCATCACACAAATCTCCCAATGTCTACCCTGATTAATATTCCCTTAAGGAGCTTATATTTTCCTACTTGATAAAAAGAATGACCATAAAACAATGTCCCTGATGCCACAGCAAAGATCATAGACGATTGCTGTCCATTCCAGTAACCTGAGGATGACTTGCCACTTGGAATAACAAAGTCACTATTTCTGTAAATGTTTTTGGAACTCTCCTCTTAGAATAATTTTTAGAGATATACTATATAGAAACATGGAGTTGTTGAGCTTGAGTGAATACTGGAGATTCCCTAGTCTGAAGTTCTATCTAGTACCTTCCATCTTTCTATCATTACTCTTTTATTCATTCAACAGATGTGTCCTGAGACTCTGCCTTACAGCTGAGGACAAGGCAATGATCAATAATAGAAACTGACCTTGTAATTTAATAAGGGAGACTGGTATGCAGATGAATTGAAGCAATATAAGCAGGTAAATACCATAGCTGAGGCAGGAAAGAAATGCTGAGGAATACAGATGAGGAAAGGATTAAATTAACTTCAAGAGTAGATACTTGATTTGTGTTTTGTTGGAAAAGGTTGAACTTTCCAGATCTAGATGCTACAGTGGTGTCAGGGATATCACAAGACATGGTCTTATAGTTATTTTAAGGAACTAGAGAGTGGAGAGGGCTTAGAAGGTTTGGGAAGGAATAAGGGACCTGGCAAAGACAGAAGGCAATTGGAGGAATAAATATAGCTGAATAGAAAGGTCTGGGATGACTCCTGTGAAACAGAGGGCAGGTAGTATCTGAGAGAGTATGAAAGCAGCAATCACAGAGTGAGGACTCAAGGACTTGCAGACATTGTTCAGTGACTGGTGAAATCAACATCACATCTGGACAATTTTAGATGTTCTAAAGATCTTTTCAATATTCAGCCAAAACCTGCACCACACCTTAGTTCCTATACTCCTGTGCTGGTTTTGCTTTATTAGACATGAAAATAGAACATAATTACTTTTCCACAGATTGGCCATCCAGAATCTGAAGGCAGTTATTACATTTCCATGAGTATCTCCTCCCTAGCCTAATGCACTCTTCATGTGTGTTTTTCTCTGAGGATGTTTTTAATCTCCTTTTCGTTCTTATCACAGTTCTCTGTGCTGGATGTATTCCAGTTGGTCAACATTTCCCTAAAAATGTGGTACCCAGACGGAATAACTATTCCAAATGTGATTCACTAGCACAAGCTTTGATCTGCATTTGAGCATCAAATGATGTTACCAAGCAGACATAGCACATTACTGAGTCATGCTGAACTTCCTGTCAACCACCATAAGTGCTGCTGTTAAGTGCATTTCTTTTAGGGACAGATGTTTTTTGAATGTGAGTGTGTAACTTTACATCGATCAATTTAGGGTTACCTTGGTAAGATTTGGTGTGTTTTTCTCAGACTGTCAAAATCATTTGGAATAGTCCTTATAATTTTATGAGGTCTTGGGTAAGCAAGATAAGCATCAAGTCAACATCTTTTTCTGAGTTTTTTTTTTTTTTTTAAAGATTTATTTATTTATTTATTTATTTATTTATTTGTTTGTTTGTTTATTTATTTATTTATTTATTTGTACAAGCACTGGGTACAGTCAGAAGCGCAGGAGGGTGAGAGAATTCACCAGAGCCAGAGCAGGGAGCAAAACAGGCAGACGGATGAAGTACACTGCTGAGGGGAGCAGCGGGCAGCAGGAGAGGTCTGCGCGCCATGTGGGACCCTCGCCCAGTGGCCGGGATGGAACTGGCGTTGCAGAGGCTGCAGGCATTTTCGCAACCCAGTGCTCAACCGCTGTGCCACCGGGGAGGCCCTTTTTCTGAGTTCTTGATGAAGATGAATAGTGAGACAAGGTTAAGGCAGAACTCCATAAACTACCATGCAAAATTTGTCAAAATCTGGTTTTCTGTGCTACTGTTTTATCTTTATCTTTGAAGATTTTCATTGTTCCTATATTTAACCTTTCCCATTTTCATATCTGTGTTCATCAGAGAACTCCATAGGCAGCCAAATAAGTTTGAATTTCCTTTATCTTTTCTGTTCCACTGATTACATAGCCAGAGCTTCATTTCAGAAACCCTCTTATTTTCTTTGAAAAGACTGCCTTTGAGTCATTTTTCATAAATTCCTATAAATGTTAGCTCAAATATTTTAAAATTCTGGTCATGTTTATATGTCTACTTATGATCTATTCCCCAGGAAAGTGTTTTTGTTTCCTTTTGTATACATTTTAAGACAACAGATATACCTTTGGAGGTATCTACCTATTTAATCAATTCTTTAATTCCGTTAATTGCTCCTTAATGATTAAACAAGGTTCCCTCATTGTTGCCTTTGTATTCTAGGAGATTATGTCAGCAAGAGTGGCACAAGAGAGGGAAATGGATTTTTTTGACTGAGGGAACAATACCAGAAGAGAAATATAAGTCAAGACAGCATACTCTGCAGATTCCTCATGCATGTGTGTTTAGTTCACATTTCCCAAGTAGATTGGCATTTCCTTAATGGCAGGAAGGGACCACATCTTTTCTGTAGAATATTGGTTCTTTTGCTACCATCCCAGTGGAGTGACAAGTACACAATAGGGATTCAAGAGGTATTTTTTTTTTGTCAGTAACTCACAACAACAACATGGTTTGATGTTTAGGGACACACATACTTCTACCCACTGGTTAAGACAATTAAGAGATTAGTCCATTGGGTAAACATCATTTTTCACAGAAATATTTACAAATATACATTACATAATAGATCAAAAGATAGTCACAAATCAAAGAAAGGAAAAATTCACTTTTAAGAAATCTTATTAAAAAGTACGTAAATCTGTCTGATACGTATGTTATAATTAAGTTTACAAGTATAACCACAGTGGCTACTATTTGTCCAAACCAGTGGTATAAAGTAATTATTTTTAATTTATTTTTTCAAAGGTTACACATTTAAAAGTCTATGTTCTGGTTGTCTTGGGAGTTCAGCAACTCAACTAATAAATAAAACTGTAATACATAAAACCACTTTAATAAGATTTAAAATCTCTCTGTAATCAGAATCTAAAATTAGTTTTTTTACCCATTTTATCAGCTCTGTGAGAGCCATATATGGCAAGTACTGACTTCTTATTCATCAAGATAAAATATTAGCTTTTATTTTTTCACTTGCAAGGTGCATAATGATTAAGAATTCTGGTTGCCAAGGGTGAAATGCTGCTTCAAATTCGAAGTTCAATTGTTTTGTGAATTTGTAATTGCACCCTTTCTGCGGGATGGGGAAAGCAGAGGAGGAAATTCACAAAAATGACACAAAGCAGATAATAACAGAGTTCCATGAAGAATTCATAATGATGTTCAAGGTATAAAGAAATTATTTTTATTGCTAAGAATGATCTCTAATCACCCACGGGTAGGCACTACTGAGATGGCTGCAGATGCAAGGAGCCCCCTTGCATTCAACAAATTAAATATCCAGGTCCTAATCTCTAGAGAAAATTCATATTTGCTTTGATTCATTGTGCCTATGAAGGCAGATGTGAGGTTGTTTGAGAGAACTCACTAGGTACTCACTCACTGCTCCTGCCTGATGACAGAAGTGAATGGGTATTACCCTAAAACTAAACCCAAACTTAAAATGGTCTTTAAACTTAAACTTTAACCAATGTGAGTACAGTCCCTAGGTTAAACCTAAAGAGAACTAGAAGGGTACAAATATTTGTAGAGAATGTACTAGGGATAAGACATGGTGCTGGATGCTACTTAAAAGTTTCATGTCGGGCCTGCCTGGTAGTGCAGGGGTTAAAAGACAGAGCTATCAAGCTATTACCAGCCACTGCAGCACAAGTTCAATATCCAGTTGGCCAGGGAGCAACCTACATGGCACAGCTGACCTCTCCTGCCTCACCCACTGCTCCTCTCAGCAGTGTATTTCAGTAGATCTGTCTGTTCTACTACCCACTCCCTCTGATGAATCCTCTCACTCCCAGCCCCCACACCTCTGGCTTACACCTCAGTTCTTGTATGCATAAATAAATATATCTTTAAAAAAAGTTTCATGTCAACCAATTCAGCAATAATTAATTAATAGGCTCAGTGTATAGATAAGACCACCAAGAATGATAGTCATACTTGCCCAAAGTTAGAAAGTCAGTTAGTGGTAGAGCCTAGAATCTCTCTTAAATACAATCTTACTATCTTCTGTTTTATCCTCTCACTTTTGTTTAGCCACACTAAATGGCAAATAATTTTACAATGTGGCTCCCTGGCTACTCAGATCATTAAACATCTTCCCCTTTCACACACATACACCCCTCCTCCAACATATTCAGTGTTCTCTCTTATGTGACACATTTAAGGAACATTGTCAGGGAAGGGAAACCCAGTTAACTGATCAGGTGGGCCTTTAATGATAGCATTGTATTGGAGTGAGTTCCATCATCCTCAGTCAATTTCTCAGCTTAAGACCTGCAGAAATGTTGCTAGAATAGTGTATTCTAAGGAATATTTGATGCAATGATGTGAAATAAAATGTGAACCCACTGGCATGATATTAGTAAAATATTCTGGTTCCTTTTAGGTCATTTTATGTCTTAGGAAGTGATCTTGGGAGATTGTCTCATAAGTGGCACCAACTTATGAGATCATTTTACTCTTCAGTAACCAAATTCTCTAAATGGATTGCTCAAAGTACATTGAATGTTGTTTTATATAGAATCCTTCTGTTGTGAGGTATTAATGCAGAAAAGCTTTTAACTGTTAAAATCTTTTTCAGATAAAAAGAGGATTTTATTAAATGGAAATATGGCAATTACGATAATAGCATAAGATATTCTTTTTCAAGCAAAACCAAATTACAGAAGAATACCAACTGTGGAGTGTGCAAAGTCTGATTAGTTCAATACTGCAAGATTTGTAACCTGTGCTTGGAGGTAGGTAGAGAAATAGAAGGTTAAGAGGGCAGACCAAAACCAGAGTAGTGGTATCTATAATCTCTGGAGTTTCAAATATAAGTCATAATATATAAAAGCGTATGAAACATGAAAATTGATGAAACATCTTCCAGATAAATTATAACAATATCCAAATTCAAGAGTCTGAAAGCTCTCTATAACAAGTATTGCCTGAGAAGAGTTTTCATCTACCTAATACCAAATTCAGTATGAAATGCTACATCACTGAAACAATAGCAAAGTATTGATGCAAATTTAGCATTTATTTTATGTACTGTATACAATACATATACTCAAATATAAATAGCTGAAAGTACCAGATCTTTAATGTTTATTAAAGTGCATTGAAAGAGAAAAAAAAAAGAATAATTTCCCCCTTTCCTCCTCTTCTTTTTCCCTTCTTCCTTCCTTCCATCTTTCTCTAGTTCCTATATACCATTCCTCCATTCTTTTCTTTTGTATTGGGAACCCAACGATCACTTATATATTGTTCATGGTTTTTGTTTCAAGGGTTCAAGATGTTTTAGAAGAGGTATTTTCAGTTTTTAGAGAGTCAAATAGAATGAATATTTGACCACAGAAACAAATGTAAAGCAAGATTTGTTTTGATTTGAGGTCAGAATTAACAGGGTATCACTGTCTTTGAAATTATCTGGAGCTTAAATGCTGTTCAGTAAAATTAGGTCAGGTGCCTATACACTACCACATCTATTGCTTTTACTGTTTAATTTTAGTAATTAGTATTGTTTTTGGCACAATTAGTATTGTTAAATGAATGTGGAAGGACATATAGATATATTTATAAGGCGATTAATTTATGCAGTGAGATAAGTATATCTCAAATTTATCATAAATATGAATATTTGTGAGGAATACACAAAGAGGATATGTAGAGGACAAAGAAGATAGACTTAAAAACTAAGATCTGAAACAATTTATATGTACTCTTTTCTGAGGCTAATAGACTTGGAGTTGATGATCTTATAAGGTATCTGGAGATATATGAATTATAAGGTCCCAGAATTTATTTTTATGTAAAAAACAAAGGTGATGAAAGTCTCTTGTAACTGAGTAAGTATTGGAGTGATTTTTGGCTTATTTATTGGTGTAAGTACTTGAAGAAAATAATGAGATTTCTATTTAGATTATAAAACACAAATAACAGAGTGAATAATTGCCAAAGAAGAGTCTTTATAACAAAATATTTCTACCACATGTCTCTGTGTTTCTCTTCACTCAGCCCTATTACCTTGGAACCTCACTCAAGGGCTGTAGAAGTAATAAAGAGGTGGTTAACCACATGAAATGGCAGACTTGCTTATTACAGCCATGGAATGTTTTGTCTGTGATTTAAATGAGTAAAAAACATGGTGAATATTACAAGAGAAGAGGAAGAAGGCAGGTGAACTTCAACCATAACAAAGAGTGAACATCCTTCACCTTTGCTGAGACTGAAAATAACTCCAAGATATTTTTGGTGCAGAGAAATGTGCTTTTTCTAGAGTACAGTATCCAACTCATCTCATATGTCCCTAAAACTTTTGACTCTGTCATTTTAAGTCCAGCTTCCAGAAACTTTTCTTGTCTTTGAGTCAAATTTTGTATATAATATCTGATAGTAAGACACTACAGGAATTTTCAAGATGGAGGGAGCCCACCAGAGGCTCTCTCTTCCCATGTTACAACCAAAGAGTTCAGACAAAATGCAAAAGGCAACTATCTGAGGACTGCGAAAAGTTATCAATTGCAACCAGACAATGAGGAAACCCAAAACTTGAAGTATGAGAAGTATCAGTGAATTTTCTAGTTTATTTAGGGTAGCTGAATGGCCTGACTATAGAACTATATAACGGGGACAGACAGAAAATATTGCCTAGAGGACCAGAAAAAGAACAACTGTGAGTTAAAAGTTGCAAGGGAATACCTTGCAATACCTAGGCTGCAACTTCAGGATAAGCATACTTTATTTCCTCACCCAGTCTTGCGCTTAGAATAGTCCCAGTTGTGACTTTGTATTGATGTGGTAGGGACAATAACAGTGGCAACATATGGCATGGGCACACAGAATTCCAAGGGGAAAACCTGCATTTGAAAAATGGCATATGCTAGAAGGACTCTCTGACCTTCTCTCTCTTGCCTGAAGCAGGTCATAGAAATAGAAGGTGCTAGACAGAGTCTGACTTTTCCCTTCTCTCCTGAAGCAGGTTATCAGACCCTATTATAACATGTGCCCTCCCTATCCCTGCAGGAAAGGAGTCTCTTTATCTCTGAAGACAGAGCTATACTCTTTTGTCCTATCATGTTTTTCCATGACCTTCCACACTTTATGGAATGTCATATAGAAAGATTCAGTTTTAACCATTTCTTTAGGTATTCATTTCCTTATGAAGGCCTCTCTGCCACATTTCCAGTGCTTAATAACTACCTGTGGTCAGTGGCTACCATATTGGGCAACACCACAACCATAGACTGTGTGGCCTCAGGTATGGAAGACTGGCTTCTTCCTTATCACTCTAGGCCAACCGTAGCTTTCTGTAAATCAAAAAAAAAAAAAAAAAAGGAATACTTCCTATTTGTGAAGATTAAACCAAATGATGTGTATAAATGCCTGTCAGTGCGTTGGACACATAGCAAATTCAAAATAAATATTAGCTACAATGAGAATTATTGTTAGAAATTAGGACTACTAGGCAAACAGAACCAAGACTAAGATACATAACTTTTCTTTGAAATAATCTACTCCATGGTTAAGTAATAATTTATTTTGGTGAATAGAACATTATTTTGATTTATTTCTTTCAACTCCCTCCCTGAGATCTGGGCATTAGTGGATGATGGGAAACTGTCTCACTTTCATTTATAATTCCATGAAACACAGAAGGGTATGGCCCATTTTCCCACTTTATTTCCTATATATCTCCGTGCTTGCAGTATGTGAAAAGATGTGAGGTAAGTTGGAAATTTGGGGAAAATTTTTCTATAAACTTAATGTTCTTAATTATAAAATCATTCTTCTTTAAATAATTATCAAAAAATTAAACCATTTGGGGTAGAGTGCATTTGTACATAGAGAAAATGGTGGTAGGAATGTAGACGAGAGAAAGGGGATTTTAATAATACCAGGGATTCCTAGGCTGCAACTTCAGGATAAGTGTACTTTATTCATTATTTGTTTTTATTCCTTTGGTGTCACTAGGCACCATCCTTCATAATATATTTACTCAAGATCCTTCCTCACTCCAGAAATATGGTTTACAATACAAGTCTTTGATGATCTGAAAAGCTATAGTACACTTCATTACAGAGTATACTTAAAGAGAGGATGAGCTTCAGTTGGGGTGACCTGTTACACCCAGCTCATCCATTACATCTCTTGTCACAACTGTTTACTTTTTCACACTGTGCTGGAGCCATTAAGAAGGAACACTAAGGTAGGACTGGCTACATGCTGTTCTCCTCTTGACCTGCCAGGGAATTAATCTTGAATGCTCAATTTAATGCTTTCTAACAATGACTGCTTGGGGGTGGTAATGGAACTCTGTTGCATTAAAAAAATCCACCCATTTAAACCACAGAACTTAATTTCACTGACATATATGTCCATCACTTTATCTTTGATAGGGAATCATAGCAAAATGCCCACATCTCTCTTCACCACTATACAATAAAGCCAGTGATTGCTGATGTTAAAGGCTTACTTACAAATTAAGGTGGAAAAATATTGGTAAAAGACAGAAACTTTTTAATATTAATTGCAAGTGATAATTTATGGATGATTTTAACATTCTATCAACTAACTGAGATAAGACTTTAAAACTCTGTATTTATCAAATTCAATTAAAGAATCTTTTCTATTGGTATACTTTCAAGAAGTCATATGAAACTCATACAGAAAAGATGAAGTTACATATACATATGTATTAATGTATTCTCTCCACTGAAATTCATGGAAATGAACAAAAAGAAAAAAATATATAGAAGATATAATTCACAATGAAATTAGACAATAAATACAACCAAAATCATAAACTATGAACATAGTTTTCCCAAGACAGCAACATTTGTTCCAATCTGAGATTTCAGAAGCACCAGTAAATCTGGGCCTCCCCTAGTGGCGCAGCGGTTGAGCGCTGGGCTGCGAGGCTGCCCACAGCCTCTGCAGCACCGGTTCATTCCCCTGGGCTGCTGGCGAGGGTCCCACAAAAAAAAAAGTACCAATAAATCCTTGCAAACTTCTCCATCAGGGAATCCATTTTTTTATAAGGTGAGATAACCTGAGAGACCCAGGTAATAGTCATATTCTTAAAGGACAGGACATCAAGGACAAAGAAAGGTACTTGTAGAGTTCTGGGTCCTGGTAATATCTAGAGACATACTGGAGACAAGTTGTATGGTTGAGGAATGATGAAAAACAAACACAAACAAACTGCAACTTGGAGGGGAGACCACATTGAGTCTTCTGAGTTTCTGCCTCAGAGACTCGCTTTCCTAGAAGAGAAAGATTCTTTTAGAGCAGAAGGTACATTATTGAGAAATTACCCTTGTTAGTCTCAACTTCCCACATGCATGCTTTGGCTCATCCTAGTGGTAAGCAAACAGAAAACCACACACAGACACATAAATGGCTGGCCCTCAATAAAGATACAACAGGCATCTGCATAAGGTTACCATTACACTCCCCTGTCTCCCATCAAGAAAAATCAAAAGGTACACCAAAAGCAATACCTATCAGGAGACTGGAAATAAAGACTACAAATGGACCATATGCTTAAAAAAAAGTAAGGAAATATGGGCTCTTTGGTAGGTGGGGAGAATATCAAAGAAGCAAAGTAGATGAAAGAAAAGGTGAGATAATTAAAGAGAAGAAAGGCAACCTGGCCATGCTTTACAAAGAAATTAGAGACAGCAATAAAACCATTATTAAAGAAAAGGTAACCACATCAGAAACAGCTAGAAATAGAATGGATACTGCTAAAAATAGATGCAAAGACAGGAAGGCTAGCATAAAAAATAAATGCAAAACAAAACTAAAAATTATGAAATGATATTAGGTATTAGACAAAGAGTACAATACAGCAGGTCCCTGAATAAAGTTTCTTTCAATGTCCTTTTGCTGTAGCACTGATAAGAATAAATGACAAGACCTGCTTTTATTATAGGTCATGTTGCTTAAAGTCACAGTTCCCCATAACCTATTGATGACATTAAGTGAGGACTTACAGTATCCTTAAAACAGAGAACTGAACAAATTAGCAATCAAAATAACAAAATAAAAAAAAAAAAAAAAAGTCCAAACCTCCCACTGGAATAATAAAAATTTCCCTTGATAAAGGAAGTTCTCTATATTTAGAACCAAAATGGCACAGTCATTTTTTTTAACTATAACTAGTTATAAAATAATGTAACAGTGATATATTCTGTTGAAATATTTGAAAGGATAGAGAAAGAATTCTTAGATATTGAAAGAAGTATTAACTCACCTACAAGATATAAAAATCAGACTGGCCTTAGCAGTATCTCTCCCAGAAGGCACAGAAGCAAAGTCTTCTGGTTATTAAAAGACAAACAAAACTAATAGACAGTCCAATCCTTACCACATTTAAAGACAAAGGAAGTCACATTTAAAGACAAAAGAAAGTCCTTCTAAGAAAAAGTGAATACTTGGAAAAATCTAGTAGAAAATGGAATCCAGTCTATCAATAAATAAATGATAAGAACATATAACTCAGGGAGAGGAAACTGCAAAATGAAGGGATGGTGTGTGAGCATTGATCCCATGAACATTTAGAAGAAACTTACTGATAAACCACTATGAGAGTTATGATTACAAGAGAATGTAAATGCTATAAAAGTTTATAATACCCATAATGTTATAAGAAGAAAAATGTAGTTGTGATGGGAATGGAAGAAATAAAATTCACTTTATTTTTCATATGGAGAGGTCAAAGACTACTTTCTAAAGGGATCTTTATGTATCAGCATGGAGAGTATTTGCATTATGAGCAGGGGCAGGGAAAGATTGAAGTATATAGATGAATACTCCTAATTGTAAACTTTGAAGGGTGAAATAGGACTAGCAAGAAAAGGAAGCTTTTAATTAACAAATGAATGGTATGAAATTTCTGCATTGCTTTTATAATTAATATCAACTTAATCTCCCCTTTGAAGGAATAAACATAATTTCCATGCTTAGTCAAAACGTCAAGGTGATGATTTGAGTTATTTTATTGCATAACTTAATTCCTCTGGCAACATTTTCTTTGATTTAATGCAAGGTAAAATATGCAGACATGCCTTGATTTCTCTCATACTTCCTTAATTTTTAAACATGGTTTTAGCAGACACCTTTACCTGACTGTGAGCACAGAAGCCCATCAAAGGGCCATCTTTTAAAGTGCACATAGCCTCTCTCAGTCCTATCATCTCTGTAAGCACAATTTTTACAGTATCCAGCCATCGGTTTCTGAAATAAAAAACTGAAGTTTGAGACTAAGTAGACCAATTTGGGTCATTAAGGAAAGCAAAGCAACAAATTAAGTCACTCAGCAATCATCATACTAAGGTGAAATGTTGTGGGCTATCATATAATTGGTCTCTCACAGGGTGACATGCTCTGAATCATGACCAAAATTACAGGGTTAAGTCTTCCTGAGGTATCATTACAGAAAAAAGTACGTCATCCCAAAGTCCCTACATTCAACCTTTCTGAACTTGTCACATTCCGATCAATTTCTAGTGTGTCTTCTTGTGTTTGATTCACAGAGCAGTCTGATTAGGAGGGACATGGAGCTTGGGAGAATCTGCCAGAAAACTGAAGGGAGATACTGTTTTTGATTGAGTACCCACTAATAATTCAGACAGCAGCCAATCTGCTTGAAGACAAGTTGAATGTAAAATCAAATTCACATTCCTCAGCAGATGTTGTACTTGTTCACCTGTCATACATGTAGTATAGATTATGTTAAGATATAAGGATTGGCAGGTGTGCAGGTTTTATTCTGAGAAAACAAGAAAACTTGTGTAGAGAGCGCCATAAAATGCTTAAGAAATTCATCATAAAGCCAATTTTAAGTTCCCTTCCAAAAGAAATTGGGCATACGACTTTTCTTTTTCCTAAAAGAAATACTGCAAGGGGGCAACATGGGGGCAAAACTAAATTATCCTGAAGTCAGAGCAAGTTCACTGCTATTTCAAAGTAATTGTAATCTAACTCTATTGTTTGTTTAATGAAGGCTCTTATACTGCTTACAAAAATAAACCTTGATAATGTAACAGAAGTGCCTGATATTATAAACACGAAGTTTAAATTAAGATATTTGTGTCTCTGTTTATTATCTAAGTGATCAAGGAAACCATAACATTTAAAGAAATTTGATGACAACTCCCTCCCTCATGCATCATTTAAAATTGAACACTAATATGGGTAGTTTGCCTATAAAGGTTACAGTTGCTATGATCAATGATAGTTATCTATGAACATTCAAACAACCAAGGACTTAAAAATTAATTATATATCTATTTTCTGGTTGCAGAGGTAATTAAATCATGCTAATTTGTAAGACAACCAAAGAAATTTGCAACCCAAAAATATGTAACAGGTGCTAGGTTTTTCACACACCGCTTCATAAAAAAGTTGTGTAAAAGATATCAACAAATATGGTATGATCTTGGGTACTATCTTAGGGGATTTTTAACATCAATACTATTTAGTTGTATCTTAATGGTTTACTAGGTTCAGGAAATTTAGAATATTGTAGAGGACTACATCTAAAATTTGTTTTACCTGACGAATTAAAATATTTATACATGTTAAATG